AAACTTTTTCACTTGTCAATTATCCCACGGCTTGGTCAAAATATAAATCATGTTGCATTTAGTAACTGTAATGTCAGTCCTACTGGATTCTTTCGATACACTCGGGCTTTTACTTTATATTTAATAATAAACATTTGTAAATATCGTACGTAGTAAAAATTGCGCGGGAAAATGTTCATTCGTGAAATATTCATGGATTAAACGATGTCTCGCGTAGATTTCTTTTGATTTTCTCTTCAGCGCATGGAAAATCCGCGAATTAGTGTTTGTGATACTCATTTTCAAAATGAAGTTAAATTCACCTGAATTGTCGGTGAACATTTATTCCTTTTTTATTCAAGCTGTAATCTTTTCAAAAGGACTCAAAATTTCAAAAGCATCTTCCTAGAATCAGTTATCAAACACTAGTACCACATCATCTTGAAGCAGAACGTTTGCGATAGTCTGTCACCGGAAGTTTGAGGCCGACGCCTTAGGAAAGTATTGCTATAGCAAACTTCCAAAAAAACCATATCTCTTTATCTGTATGAGACCAAAAGGGCTCCGTACAATCAAGATCAACTTATTACATACAACTGTATATTTCTATGTACGCATTTAAATTATGTCCTTTAATCTGTCAAACTGTTCGTCCCAACACAAACAGATTTGCTATCTGTTAAATATTTGTCCAGTATTTGTCGCATCCTTGGCTTTCAAATGTTTAGGTTTGAGAGTTCATGTTGAAGGTAAATCGGAAAAGTACGGAAGCCGATAAGGGCCATTAAAAAAAAAAAAATTATGTCGTAATTACATAACATGTCGTAATAACGACATCACTATGTTGTAATTTCGACATAACATGTCGTTATTACGACATCGCTATGTCGTAATTTCGACATAACATGTCGTTATAACGACATCTCTAATTCGTAATTTCGACATAACATGTCGTTATAACGACATCGCTATGTCGTAATTTCGACATAACAAGTCGTAATTACGACAACACTATGTCGTAATTACGACATAGCTATGTCGTAATAACGACATCGCTATATATATAAAAGAATATGTATTATGATTGCCAAGAGACTAAATGACACAGAAATTAACAACTATAGGTCATCATAATGCCCTCAATAATGAGAAAAGCCCCCGCATAGTCAGCTATAAAAGAGGGACGAAAGATACCAGAGGGAGAGTCCCCGAAATTACAGCTGTTTAACAATTTAATTCAAACGAGTGAAAATAACGGTTTTAATAATGTACAAATAAAGACCGAAACACGAATATGTAACACAGCAACAAATGACAACCACTAAATTACAGACTCCTGACCGCTATGTGATAATAACGACAACCTTATAGTTTAACTTTTAACTTATTGAAGCGATAGGAATTTCAAAATGGTCGCCAGTAAAGGCAAAGTTTGTATCGTAAACAAATTCATCTTTTTTTTTGAGAATATTGAACACTTTATGCAATCAAGCTTAATTAAAGTTATTCACTAGCACCTCAGACTTGCACATACTAGAACTTTATTTATAATCAAGTCAAATGAGACCCAGTTGAATAGGGGAGCAATTCAAGCTCCCTGGAGCCTCTAATTATGTTTGGCATTGCAGGTTCTGAATAAGATGAATTTTAAGCTTTTCCCAATAAAGACTATGTTAAACTTTGGACTCATAGTGCTCAGACCCACGGCTCCTGTACCTTCATTTGTACACACTTGAATCTTAATGTACTACTGAGGCTTGATGCAAATTATAACTGCATTGCTATTGTTGGTTCTTAATGAGATTCTTCAAGCGTCCTCCCCATTGAAGCCCTATTAAAACTTTGTACCCCAAGTTCTTTTAACCACTGTTCCCCAGGACAACTATTCCTACAAACTTAGAGGGAGGGTTGGGATCCCGCTAACATGTTTAACCCCGCCACATACTTTATGTATGTGTCTGTCCCAAGTCTTTAATTTACATATTTGTTTTTCGTTTATTTTTGTACATAAAATAGGCCGCTAGTTTTTCTCGTTTGAATTGTATTACATTTGTCATTTCGGGGCCTTTTATAGCTGACTATGCGGTATGGGCTGTGATCATTGTTGAAGGCCGTACGGTTACCTATAATTGTTAATTTCTGTGTCATTTTGTTTCTTGTGGAGAGTTGCGTTTTTGAACAAACCAGCGTATCCCAAAGCCTTGATAACCTCTGTAGGCCCCAAACAAGACGAAAAAACATCAAAATTGGAGAGAAAACTGAAAATAAATGGTTTCTAACCTCAGGGATATCAACCCTTGGCATGCTGAATTGTTATCAGAAATTGTCTAAATTTCGTGTATTTGTAAAAATATGCAAATGATATGCAAATGCTGATGCTGATGCATACTGATTGCATTAAATCTAAGATAGCCAAGGGTTAATATCCCTGAGGTTAGAAACCATTTTTTCAGTTTTCTCTCCAATTTTGATGTTTTTTTCGTCTTATTTGGGGCCTACAGAGGTTATCAAGGCCTTGGGATACGCTGGTTTGTTCAAAAACGCAACTCTCAACAAGAAACCAAGCGACACAGAAATTTACAATTAAAGTCACCGTACGGCCCTATTAATGCCATGTTATGTCGAAATTACGACATGTTATGTCGAAATTACGACATAGTGATGTCGTTATTACGACATGTTATGTCGTAATTACGACATAAATTTTTTTTTTTGAATGGCCCTTATCGGCTTCCGTAGAAAAGCGCGTCGTTCGCATTAAAATTATAAAGCGTTTATTGTTTATTTCCGATTTTTCCAACCTATCTGTCCAGTGGTGTAAGTCCAACATTAGTTTGAGGATTTTATCTTTTTCAGTCAGCTTAAATAACTTTCAAATTAGTATTGCAATGCGAACTGAATGTTTAGAAATCAATAGGGTTGCATTTTTACGTTCAAAGATATTATGAGGTTCTCATCTGAATTGTATATTTATGTCTCAGTTTGTATAAATGTTTGAAAAAAAAATTTGGTATTGAAATAAGGAGATGTACGTACTGTTGCCAACGAGACAACTATCCAACACTGTTTGCACTGATTTCTACACATGGTAAGGTTTTTGAGATCAGCTTGGTCGTGCCCAGGTGATCTCAAATGACGGCTTACGGGGAGGTCGGGCTTGCAGGTGTAGTCACTTCGATGACCATTCATGTGTTTGTTGAATGGCCGTTCTGTCTCGCCAACATACTGCATGCCACATCGACACTGACGAAGGTATACAACATTCTGGGTTTTGAAAGTTACATTGCAAAATGTAGTGTACACAGACCCAGTGGAGTGGCAAGTAAATGTTTGAGTATTCAGTATTTGTTGGCAAGTCAGACATCGTCTGTTACCACACGACTTGATCCATCCTGCAGTTGAACAGCTTTTATTAAAGGAGACATCAGCTCTCACAAACAAGTCTGTCAGACTTGCTGGTCTCCGAAAAGCTAAGACAAGAGGTTTGGGAAAGATCTTGGATAATTTAGGGTTCTTGGCAATAGTTTGCCAATTGGCATGGATCCAACGTGAAAGGTTAGTAAAGGCGGGATTGTATGTTAAAACAAATGGAACTATTTTGCTGTGCCTCTTCTGTTTGTATTGTAATAGGTCATTGCGGCTGTTATTGTTAGCACGTGCAAATCCCTTATCTATGTCCCATTTCTTATAACCTCGTTTGGTCAAAAATCCGCGAAGTTCCTGTAACCGTTTAGTTACAGCCTCCTCAGAGGAGCAAATCCGCTTTACTCTGAGAGCTTGACTATAGGGGATACTTTTTGTACAGTGTTTGGGGCGACAGCTTTGGGAGAAAGGTACTGATGTATATATATATATATATGTATTTAAAATTTAAATGCTTCTTTTATAGTGGGATGTAAAACTGTTGATGGAAGCAGATTATGTATGAAGTGTCAAAGCAATTCAGAGTTCAATCAAGCTTTTGTTTGTTTATTTGTTTTACAAATCCTTTGCATTGTTGTAGTGATGTCATGGATTGCACATGCAGTCATGCATTGCACATGCAGTCATGGATTGCACATGCAGTCTTGGATTGCACATGCAGTCATGTATTGCACATGCAGTCTTGGATTGCACATGCAGTCATGGATTGCACATGCAGTCTTGGATTGCACATGCAGTCTTGGATTGCACATGCAGTCAGGGATTGCACATGCAGTCAGGGATTGCACATGCAGTCAGGGATTGTACATGCAGTCATGGATTGCACATGAAGCCATGAATGGTATGAAATATTAGGACATACTGTGGATTCATGATTATTCATTGGATACCAATTTTTAAGGATTTTGTTGGTAAAGGTTAACCACTATTTCAAATGTTCAACAAAAATACACATTTTCTATTGGCATATACACAGACTTTGGCAAAATTAGGAAATCAATTATCCAGGAAAATACAATTTTCTATTGGCATATACACAGACTTTGGCAAAACTAGGAAATCAATTATCCATGAAAATACAATTTTCTATTGGCATATACACAGACTTTGGCAAAACTAGGAAATCAATTATCCATGAAAATACAATTTTCCAAAAATCCACAAAAAATTAGTATCGACGAAAAATAAAAGAATCCACAGTAACACATGACTTTACATCACCATGTGATAGTAGTTTGCCAACCATAGATGTTTGAATCCTTAGGAAATGTATATGTGATGTAAATATTACAAGGAGGCCTCTGTGATCATCTGTGGACAAGTGGTCTATATACCAGTAAGCAGTTCATCTAAAGTGATTACTAGCCAGTCAACTCTGAGTTTGTGATTTTGAACCCGGCTTGTGGCGATGTCTGTTAACTCTGATCTTAATTGACAAGGATTTTCCCTGTTGAAGGTTGGTGGTTCAGTCTGGGTACTCTGGCTTCTTCCTCCACTTTCTTCCTTCTTTTCTCTATATAATATGATACTGGTTGCAATGATATAGCCACAATGTAGTTAAGTGGCCTTACACAACAATAAACAAACAAACAAAGATAAATATTACAAGATATCGACCCTTTATTTAATCTATACATCGTAACATATTCATGATATAACTTATTCATGTATTTATTTATTAATAAATTCTTTCAATTTAAACCCTGACGGTTTAATGCAATAACAGAATAACTAGTATAAATCCATAAAATCATGGAATTAACATGAACAGTCAAATGATTGCAACATTTTACAAAATAAATTCTTATGACTCAAGTTTTATTTACTTATTGCGATTTTGAAATAATTATCACAAATGCGAGATTATTTATTGCGATTTCAGGAAAAACTAAATACATTATATGTCTCAGATATCAGAATGTGAGTTCTTATTATTGCGATACTCGCACAGTCGCATTATTCGCATTAATAAAAACCTCGCAATAATTTCTGAATTTACAGTAATCTATTAACTATTGATCATTTGTTAATGATATTTTTTATCGTTAGTGACTCGTAACATTTGATTTATTTCAGCAGTGGTCAAATCATACAGTGGTGGTATAGCGTCATCAGGAATATATTCTGAAGGTCTTCGTCTGGAGTAGGAATCTATAAATAGATCAAATATTTCATCATTACTGTAGCAAAATTATGTTTCACTTATTAAGGATGTATTCTTCTGATGTTTCAGTCTCGTTGACTGAAGGTCTTAGTCTCGAGTAGGAATCTATAAATAGATAAAATATTTCATCATTACTGTAGCAAAATTATGTTTAACTTATTAAGGATGTATTCTTCTGATGTTTCAGTCTCTTTGAAATCTTTTTCTGGCATAATTTCCAAAACATGTGATACAAGTGGATAATATTAATGAATTTAAAAAATATTATTATCAAACTAAATTCTGTGAAAAAATTGTGTACTTACATTAAGTAGTTTTTGAGTAATACAATTTTCAAATTTTATAACCAATCTGGTCAGTGTCATCAGCCAAAATATTGAGAAAATGGGTAAGGGCACACAAAATGATTTTACCAAAAATATTTACATCCCATATCAATTTTGTCTTTTTAAAATTCTTTGATATGTATTTTTCCAATCATTTATAACAAAGAAGTTGAAATAATATGCTTTTTGTTCTTAAAAAAAAGAGAAAAATCCCAAGTTTACAAAACTGACATCATGGTCAATTTGACATGAAAAAGCAACAAAATTTTATAAAACTTTCTAATATTAAAACCAAACTATAATTTTTTGAAGTTAAATTTATTCAGATCGGTCCACTCCATCTTTAGTGAAAGTATGAAAAAAAGTTTAATTGTGAAACTGTGATTTTTTTCATAATATTAGCCAAAAATTGGGTAAAAATTGATGAAAATAGGAAAATCTTTAAAATTTGGGTACTTTTAAATGGCTGTAGCAAACAAAGAAGTGCACCACCATATGATTTTTTCTTCATCAATTACTTATAGTCATATAAACCCAAAGATCAGGTTAAGAAAAAAAGTTTAATTTTAGAAATTTTTAGCTCCTAAGAGGTGTACATCCTTAAGTTACAATATTTATTCAAAGAAAACTGGAATTAGGTCAAATCTATGTTGTTTAGAATAGAGAATGGAAACAGGGAATGTGTCAAAGAGACAACAACCCGACCAAAGTGCAGAAAACAGTTTACTTGTTTTTTTGCAACAAGAGCTAATTGTGTGCATCCATACACACAATGGCCATAACATATAGTGTTACTCATGTCCATCCTTTCCTAGTTCAGAAATCCAATCATTGTTCTGACATTTTTTATGCCTTCAGATTTTACGCTGATATTTGGTCTATCGATGTATGCTGATAAGTTACAAATCTTACTGGAGTGTCAATCAAGATTGCCTTCAATTTTTAGAATTGTGAATACCGTCTGTCATTTAGTAGGGGTCTAGGGTAGGTTTAAAAGAGGAGTTGTCCCAACAAATCTAGTTCTTTAACTCAATATGATCATTAAACATATACTTATCAGTAAATATGAACCAGCAACTTGTTTTTCTCTATAAAGAGGTATCATGTAGTTTATTAACTATAACTTAATGGAATTTGTTGATGAAAAAATTGTGAAATTAGCTTTTCGCTTTAACTACACTATCTTTTAAAAATTTTATGATGGACACTTAGCAACTAAATAAATCCACAATCTATTTTCTCAAGTTTAACACCAATTTTCATGGTATATTATTTTATAACATTTATTCAGATTTCACATTTTTTTTTTTAAATAACCTACCCAAAATATATCTCTAAATGCAATTTTAAAAGTTCACCTATGCATCTCCCTTAAATGCAAAACAACTATCTTCTTTGGTTATTTACAACCATTCATTAAAAGAATATTTTCTGTTCATAATAATGGCTTTTGATCTACCTAATATCTACCTAATATGCAGTATAAGTATAAACTTATACACCTTACAATCATTCCATACAAAAAATATAGTTGACTTATTGCTTATTATACATGTAGTATTGGATAAACTAAAAAAAATAATAAAAACTTATCCTTGACCAATGAACCATGAAAATGAGGTCAAGATCAGATTAAACCTGCCAGACAGACATGTACACCTTACAAACATTCCATATACTAAATATAGTGGCCCTATTGCTTATAGTATCTGAGAGTTAGACCAAACTACAAAAACGAAACATTGCCCAATGAACCATGAAATTGAGGTCAAGGTCAGATGAAACATGCCAGTCAGACATGTACACCTTACAATCATTCCATACACCAAATAAAGTTGACCTTATGCTGATAGTATCTGAGATATGGACTTGACCACGTAACTTTAACCTAGATCACCGATCCATGAAATGAATTCGAGATCAGGTGAACCCTACCGTATGGTCATGTAGACGTTGGAAGGAACCTATATACCAAATATAGCTATCCTATTACTCATAATAAGTGAGTTTTTCACTTCACAAAAAAACTGACAATGGACACATGACAGATGTAAACTTCGTAACATAAGGTATCTGTATACAAGGTATGAAGCATCAAGGTCTTCTACCTGCTAAAATATAAAACTTTATACAAATAGTTTACACTGTCGCCACAGCAGGATTGTAATCCCTATGTCTCGCATTAGGTAGCAATACACAATTTTAGTTTCGAATTTTGGCCATGGTGATTTTTTTTAAATATGAGTTTTTGTGCAATAAAATTGATTTCCAGATAGCTGAAGAATAATATAGCCTTCAAAGTGGGTTTATATGAACATCAAGATTGTTTTTTGCATGTTTTATAGGCCATTTTTCTGTTTATCATCGATACCATCCAGAAATTATTGTAGTGTTTTTCAACAAATATTTGACCCTCAACCTTTTCAATTCAATTTTATGGAAAAATGAGGTGAAAGGCTTTTTTTTTTTCCTCTTGATAGATAAATATCAATGGTTTCAGAAAAGGTATCACTCTAATGGATTGAAATTCTTCTTTTGACCAAATTTTGGGGAATTTTGTGACATTTTCGCCCCCCCCCCCCCCCCCCCCGCCCACTCCTTGCAATATTTTGTATCAAATAAATGCAGATTGTTGCACTCAGGTGCTCTGGGAGGCTAAACAAGTGTCAGCAACTGTTGGACGTATTAATGATGTTGATGAAAAACAAACCTATTACCTACATACCTGTATTTACACTCTGTGATGATAATGCTGGTGTCTGTATTAAAATTAGTCCCATGTAAAATGGGTAGGCTAATAAAAATGTAACACAGGCAAAGGTTGGCAGTGCTATAGCCCAATATCTGAAAAACAAATTTAAGATAGATAATAAAAATGCAGAACAGACAAATGACATAATATGCATTGTCTAATAAATATAGTCAAGGAGCTTGTGTTGCTCACTTGACTTCTGTTCCATGTATGAATAACCTTGACTCAATACCATGGGTGAAAGTACAGAAGGTGACAAAATATGGAAATGAGGAATAATTCAATACTTCTTAAAGAAAAGAAGGGGGAAAAAGTGTCAAAATCCAGAAATCCTTCAAATTTCAGAAAAAAATGCATACATGCAATAAGAAGAACCTTTCAAAAGAATATTGCCAAACGATTTGAGCAGAATGGTTCAAAAGTATCAAGGTAGTGTTCAGATTCAATTTGTTTTGACGTTGTGAAAGGTGACCAAAAACTAAAAGGATTGAAAAGAAATGGATACAACTTTTCCTTCAATCTATCTTTTTGGTTTGATAGACTTACTAATAAAGGTTATGAGTAAAAATGATTGCAATTGTCTTCAGTTTTTTTTTACACTAATATCAACTGCTCATTAATACTTACAGGTTTGATGTTTTTTTTCTCTTTGTAATAAAATTTGTACAAATTTACTTTGGATGCTACATTTCAGCTCCATTTACCACTTCGCTGTTTGAAATCTACATAGTTTATGTTACATTCTATTACTACTTTTCTAGATTTGTAACCATTTCTCACTTGGCATATGGAAGACATTTACCCTACACATTGTTAAAGAATGTATTATGTGTATGTTGACCTCTACAATAATCTACAATAAAAAGTAACATGACATTTTTTGTTGTTTCCTTTGGGTTGCTGTTGCATTGACATATATAATGATCCCTCTAGTCTTTTTATCTCCTTTCAATATATTTATTCACAGAAAAATTCCATCCTGTAAATATTAGGTATGAATATTCTTACTTTTGAGGTAGATAAGTTAATCCTATTGCATACAACCATTCATCTGGAACATAGGCCCATATAACATAGGTGACTACAAAATAAAAACAATCAATTAATTCTGTCCTTGTGATAACATAGGTAACTACAAAATAAAAACAATCAATTAATTCTGTCCTTGTGATAACATACTCACAGTAACTACAAAATAAAAACAATCAATTAATTCTGTCCTTGTGATAACAGAGGTAACTACAAAATACAAACAATCAATTAATTCTGTCCTTGTGATAACATGGTAACTACAAAATAAAAACAATCAATTAATTCTGTCCTTGTGGTAACATGGTAACTACAAAATAAAAACAATCAATTAATTCTGTCCTTGTGGTAACATAGGTAACTACAAAATAAAAACAATCAATTAATTCTGTCCTCGTGGTAACATGGTGACTACAAAGTAAAAACAATCAATTAATTCTGTCCTTGTGATAACATAGGTGACTACAAAATAAAAACAATCAGTTAATTATGTCCTAGTGGTAACATAGGTAACTACAAAATAAAAACAATCAATTAATTCTGTCCTTGTGGTAACATGGTGACTACAAAATAAAAACAATCAATTAATTCTGTCCTTGTGGTAACATAGGTAACTACAAAGTGAAAACAATTAATTAATTCTGTCCTTGTGATAACATAGGTAACTACAAAATAAAAACAATCAATTAATTCTGTCCTTGTGATAACATGGTAACTACAAAATAAAAACAATCAATTAATTCTGTCCTTGTGGTAACATGGTAACTACAAAATAAAAACAATCAATTAATTCTGTCCTTGTGGTAACATAGGTAACTACAAAGTAAAAACAATTAATTAATTCTGTCCTTGTGATAACATAGGTAACTACAAAATAAAAACAATCAATTAATTCTGTCCTTGTGGTAACATGGTAACTACAAAATAAAAACAATCAATTAATTCTGTCCTTGTGGTAACATAGGTAACTACAAAATAAAAACAATCAATTAATTCTGTCCTCGTGGTAACATGGTGACTACAAAATAAAAACAATCAATTAATTCTGTCCTTGTGATAACATAGGTGACTACATAATAAAAACAATCAGTTAATTATGTCCTAGTGGTAACATAGGTAACTACAAAATAAAAACAATCAATTAATTCTGTCCTTGTGGTAACATGGTGACTACAAAATAAAAACAATCAATTAATTCTGTCCTTGTGGTAACATAGGTAACTACAAAGTAAAAACAATTAATTAATTCTGTCCTTGTGATAACATAGGTAACTACAAAATAAAAACAATCAATTAATTCTGTCCTTGTGATAACATGGTAACTACAAAATAAAAACAATCAATTAATTCTGTCCTTGTGGTAACATGGTAACTACAAAATAAAAACAATCAATTAATTCTGTCCTTGTGGTAACATAGGTAACTACAAATTAAAAACAATTAACTAATTCTGTCCTTGTGATAACATAGGTAACTACAAAATAAAAACAATCAATTAATTCTGTCCTTGTGGTAACATGGTAACTACAAAATAAAAACAATCAATTAATTCTGTCCTTGTGGTAACATAGGTAACTACAAAGTAAAAACAATTAATTAATTCTGTCCTTGTGATAACATAGGTAACTACAAAATAAAAACAATCAATTAATTCTGTCCTTGTGATAACATGGTAACTACAAAATAAAAACAATCAATTAATTCTGTCCTTGTGATAACATAGGTAACTACAAAATAAAAACAATCAATTAAGTCTGTCCTTGTGGTAACATAGGTAACTACAAAATAAAAACAATCAATTAATTCTGTCCTTGTGGTAACAGAGGTAACTACAAAATAAAAACAATTAATTAATTCTGTCCTTGTGGTAACATGGTAACTCTACATGCTTAGCATGCTATAGCAGGGATTACATCAACTACTCTATATATTTGTACATGTAAACATCATCTAACAGATGAAAAACCAATTTGATTGATCGAGGTGCTATAGCATTACAATGTTGGAGATGATTTCATGTCTTACTGCCTTGTGCTATGACTTGGTTTAAAATGATACTATCCATCTATTACAGACAACCTTACAAATGATTAGAAATACTGAAAACTTAAGGTTTTTTTTTCTCTGATCATCTGTCTGAGTGCAACTCTTGTTTTCATTTTGCTGCTCAACCTTTAGCTTTTATTACAATGTCTTGTGGTGATTGTCAATAAATTATTGTTAATTGGCTTTCTATGTTTTCTTAAAGCCTTGGTACTGTTTTTACATTTTGAATCACTCCATTAATATCATACTTCCCTGTGTCTATATCCCCAGCTTAGCTTCTCCTTTATTATCAGAGCATGGTTTGTGATTACATGTAATTAAGGGGAGCACTTTGACATATTTGAAGTGCTCTCAAAATGTGAGAGCATAACTTTCAAATCCATCACAATTTGAAAACAGAATATATCACTGTATGCTTGATTTGTTAGACAATGCTGTGTACTATTGAAGACAGTTTTTTAACCTCTGAATGTCATCTGTTATTTTGTGTGGTTGGGTTGCTGTATCAAAGACGTCTTCATCTATACATATGATAAGATGGTACTTACAAAAGACGACATATGATAAGAGGGTACTTACAAAAGACGACATATGATAAGATGGTACTTACAAAAGATGACATATGACAGGAGGTAAAGAACAAAACCATAAATAGCTCTCTCTGGTGTTGGTGATGGTGAATGTTCTGGCATTGTCAAATCGGTTTAACAATTGTCTTCATATCATATCTAAAAGTCTTTCTGAAAGTAAAGAAAAAATGCAAGATCTTTTCAATTATTTTATTATCATTGAATCTGGAATATACCAATTAACCTTTCCTAAGAAAGTCATTTCAGATAACCTGAATTTGACTTTTAAATTAAAATTTGTCGCAAAGAAAGTAAAAGATACAAAGTGAGTAATCAGGTCTGTCCTTCACAAAAAGATTTTACTTCTACAAATTGATCATAGATAGTATACTAAATTATTCATATATATAACTTACTACAATCAATTTTTGTAGTAAGTTTATTTTTGTTAAATGCAGACCTGGATTTTCAAGGTTCATCACCATGCAGAATTCAAAGCAATTAGCATTAGTTTGCAAGCCCCACGCTGACAGCACAAATAACTATAAAATTTCTCCTTTTTTTTTTTAATAATTTGTATCACAGAGCTCATTTCAAGCAAATAATCATGAAAAAGGAGAAAAGATTCTCACATATTCACATATCTTTTAAACAATGTGGGATTTGTTTATTGTAGAAGCTGATGCTACTAACGTACATCAGGTTTTTTTTTTGTAGACTTTTTTCACGATTTGATGACAAAGTAGGCAGGTTAAATTTTCACTGTGTATAATTTTCGCTGATTTGTAAAATACATTTGCGAAAAAATCACTGTAGTATATTATAAATAGATGAAAATACCATGAACAAGAACTTGAATGACTGTCAGAGAATTGGTAGCAACTAAATACGAGTCCATTTTGTACTACAAATTAAAATTACATATTTCAGAGAACATTCAAGGAAAAATTAAGTAAATTATGCACATTGCTAAAAGCTAAAAAGGAATGGTTTTGATAATTTTTTATGATGGTACAGCAGTTATTTATGAAACATATTTTATGCATATATCCCTATAAATGTGATTTATTTTTCTTTCCTTTTACATAAATGTATGTGTAAAATGTTCCGGTTTTTGACAACAATCAATAGACCGTCGTTAATTTAAAACATTTATGAACATGTAGCTGATTGCTGTGTTGTCAAATATGATTAGCCAATTCAAATTACAGTAATGAAAACAGAGATTTTCATAATGATTAGCCGTAAGTTTCAAAGTTAATCAAGAATTTGAATTTGAATGATATTGTTTTACCTTTAGGATGCAATGAGTTTACATTTAAATTTGGTGTTTAATTGACAATTGACACTATATTGTAAGACACGTTTAAACAGCGATAAATCTTCAATTATGCAGGGAAATTAACGCACTGTCAAATTTTTGTGTTTATAAGATACCACGAACAAGGCGAAAATTAAACACACGCGAAAAAAACCTGATATACGGTATTTCTAGTCCTATGATAAAGGCTTTATAATGACAAGTAATTGGTTGTATTGGTTTCAGGTGGTTAGACCAGTTATTATCAATTAGAACTGTCCTAAAATGCCTCTTATTGTCAGAGCTGCTTAGTTGTGTTAATTTATTTCACCAATGACCCAACATGCCCAAGGAATACTTCAACATGTTAAAGAATATAATTAACAGCAGGTAAGTAGTTTGCCTCTTTTCTGAGGAAAATTCAGAGAAAGCAACATATTTTTTTTTCTTTTGAAGGAATTTGGTTCGCTGTTTTTTCATGATTCATATATTCTTTTTTATATACATTCAGACATTGTTTTTGGCATAGACTGTTTTTCTGTATTTTACTTTGTCAGACCAACACAAAGCAGAAAAACATTCAACAAAAGTACAGACCAGACGTGGCAGGGTATTTAAACATCCCAACAAGTACAAAAAAAAACAAAAGTAAAGATCTGGGAGTACTAACAGTTACTAACAGCTAGTTCAAAGCCAATAACAACTAATAAAAAAAATCATGCATCTAAGACTAAAATATCAATCAGTACACATCCAATGGATTCATTGAATCATTAAAAGTCAGAGAAGACACAACCTTGTGCATAAATGCCAAGATACAGGTATCGACAGATTGTAGAGCCATGAATGTGCATATGCATATAACAATAATATTTAGAATGATTTTAATTTGCTATAAATAACAAAATCAATATTATACCATCCGCCAACAATCAAATTACAGTGTTGAAATGGTAACCTTTTAGAATAACAGAATTTTTAATGGAAGCAGCAAATGTGTCAAACAGACAAAAACCTGGCCAAAGAGAAGAAAACAGCACAAGGCCAACAATGGGTCTTCAACGCAGTGAGAAAATCCTGCAATCAGAGGCAGGCTTCAGCTGGCCCCTAAACAGTAATGTATATTAGTTCAGCGAAATGAACGCAATTGATACTAAACTCCGAAACATAAAAATGAACTAAAATTAAAAAACACACAAGACTTACAAAGGCTAGAGGTTCCTGACTTGGGACAGGTGCATAAATGTGGCAGGGTTAAAAGATATAAGAAGATGTGGTATGAGTGCCAATGAGACAACTCTCCATCCAAGTCACAATTTATAAAAGTAAAGCATTATAGGTCAAAGTACGGTCTTCAACATGGAGCCTTGGCTCACACCGCACAGCAAGCTATAAAGGGCCCCAAAAATTACTATTATAAAACCATTCAAACTGGAAAACCAACTGTCTAATCTATATAAAAAACATGTTTTGTTAGATCTCAACCCTCCCCCTATACCTCTAGCCAATGAGGAATAAACAAAGTCAGAGTCCAATGTTTGAATAGGAAGAAACTAAGCAAAATGACATACATGTACAATGATCAACATAAATTATCAAAGGAGTACTAGAAGTAACTGACATGCCAGCTCCAGACCTCAATTAAACAGATCGAAAGATTATGTTTTCATCATATGAAAATCAAGCACAATCCCTCCCATTAGGGGTTTAGTATCATGCCTAGTTTATTTAAAAGAGCAATAAGTATACCTGGATCGTGTCTAAATTTCTGGGCTTGGTAAAAAGCATCTCAGTAAAAATTAGGATGCCCTAGCTATTCCGTTTGAAATAAGTTTTCTACAGGTACAGCCAAACTTCCAAACCAAATCTTTGCATCTATGGAAGAACTTAGTAGAGGTCTTAAGTAATTTGTGGTAACGAAATCCCTGACTTAATAATTTACCAGTAATACATAGATTACCTTCATTGAAATCCAAAATGTCACTACAGACACAGGCATAGCAAACAAGTTGTGATATATAAACTAGGTAAGATGGTGCTAAAGGAACAACACCGTCCAAAAAAGGAAAATTAACAATAGGGAACAAAAAATGGTCCTGTTTGTTGTAAAATTTAGTGTAGGTTTTAACATGTCTAATTGATTTGTATAAATCAACAATTATCTGTGGACCATGCACTACTTTTTGGTCACTTAACTTAATCAATATGATTAATGAAATCAAATAAATCAACAGCAAGTTACCAACAGGAGCCTTATCAACTTTAAATATGACATATAAAATTACAAACATTAGCTCGTTAGAGTTTTATAACCGACATAGATACTACACATAAATACACACAATACATGCACAATGATTATTATACCATAGATTGATTTTTTGTTTGCATTTTGACCTGTATATGGAGCTACATTAGTCCAAATAACTATGACGTCTTGAAAGGGGTGCCTATAAAGTTTGAAACGAAATGAAACAAAACATTATAATAACGACATGAAATATATATGTTCTCTCCTTTTGCATTTAAAGCCTTAAAATAGATTGTTAATATAAGATTGAAAGCATTTGGATAATAGTGACCAATTGGTGTTTAATGTCCAGTGACAAATATTAAATGTATATATTGGAACGAGAACACGTTATGGTGTTTTTAATATGCAACTTGATTTGTACAAGACAGACATGATGAGTCGGATGACAAACTGACAACGCCATGGCAAAAAATGAAAGAAGATGGAAAGACAAACAGCAGTCTATAAAACAAACAAATTCTAAGCTCTAGACTGAGCAACACGAACTTGATGTGAACCAATACACAAACACAGGGGAAATCTCAAGGCCTTCCCGAAGGGTAAACAGATCTGGCTAAACATGTGGCACCATTCATATTGCTTATGCAAGTACAAATTATGTGAGTGATAAGTCTCATTCAGTGATGTAACGTTTTAAGACAATTGTAACATATCTGTCGTCATCTGTTATTGTAAAAAAGATATCCAATAACGATTAACTTCAGTTAAATGTATATTTCCTTCTTGCTCTCTTAATACGATAAAGAAGTATGCTGTGTAATAAAAGTGCTTTATTAATTTCAACAAAATTGGGTTCACATCCGATGTAGATTCAGAGGGGGGTTTGTCAATTAGAATCAAAGAACAATGCATCTGTCTAAGTACCAAGCCATATTTTTAAATTGATCTTAAATAAATGAAAATAGCTTGTTAAGGGTCTTCCATGAACGAGCAGGAATTCTTGCAATTTGACTATATTTTGGTCCACGTTTCCAGATAAAAAAATGTGTCAAATTTACCTGAAGGTATAGACTGATGGAAAGTGATGGTGACCTTTTTGGCCAGATATGCAAATAGAATTTGAAAGCCTGCCATTGAACCCATATGAGTGAAATATAAATCAAAAGAATTTTACATCATGAACACCATAAAATGTACTCTTTCCGATATGCATGTAGTGTTTGTCACTGGACGTTAAACATTAATTCATCAGTCATCCAATGCGTCTTACATCATTTACATGTCTTATTAACAATCCATTCTAAGGCCAATTATAAATAATTTAATTTTGGATGTAACACGTCTTCTGATTGGCTGAAAGGTTTATGTCTATCAACTCATAGACATAATTTTGTCATGTACGTGACCATGATGTCATCAACGTTTTTTAGTGATTTACTCCTTAAAAATGGAATTCAGAATTAAATTATAAGGAATGACTATAGTATTTTTTTTGTCTATTCGAAATAACCTGAAAAATGTGGTGCACACTTTTAAATAATTTAAAGTCATTCCTTAATTGGATAAATTTATAGTTTGTTTCGTTTCGTTATTTTTTTGTTGTTTCTTTTCTTTTTG